CTGTTAAAGTGGCTATTCAGGTGTACTTTTTGTAGGACTTAGCTAAGCTTTTAATATACTCATATGCATCCATGAAGGTGAAAATAATAGTTTTTCCAAGTATATCTGTCGAAGGAGCATTTATCCCCAAATTTTCCTTTAAGGCCTGGTGTTTTATGAAATGTATTTTGAAAATGCTTTTTTAGAGGATTAGGGAAGCCATGGTCTCTTTCCGTTTTACAGATTCTGATTCAATGATTCACAAGAAATATTTGGGAGGAAAGCGATTGAAGTGGAAAAATCTGTTTAGTCAACTAAAAAAATACTGTTTGGTCAACTTCATTCAAAGAATAAAGAAGCACTGTATTTTGAGTACTAGGAAGTTGTTTTATATAACGGAGCAAGGAGAAAGCAGAAGATTAACATTCTTTTATTTATTCAATCACTGTGAGAATATTTATTGAGACCTACAGCATGCCAGACATTATTTTAGATGCTGGGGTTTTCATGCTGGATAGGATCAATACTCTCCCTGCCCCAATAATCTTAGAGAAATCAGCAAAAGTAAGATATCCTGCCATCCATTTAATATTTTTATTCTGAGTCTGTGCATCAAAAGTCTCATTTTTAAGTTTTCCTTAGAGTTTAAATTCTTAAAGTTTATGTGCATCCTCTTTTGTAGTAGACTGGATTTAGGTTTGTCATTTTTCTATAACTAATGAAAACTGGTAGAATCCATAATCAAATATCCACACACAATATGTAGCAGATATATGTACACACAAACACATACAAACCATATACACAGATACTGCCCAGATCATCTTTATCTGACTAATGCTAAAAATAAACTCTACTATTGACATATACATGAGTTTTTCAGAGCATTATTGAGAACACATATATTTTACAATAACCAGGGGGCACTTGTGAAAAAGGCAGATTCCTGGACTCTGCTCCAAATGTTCAGATTCAGTAGGAGTCAGGAATATGCGTGTTAAACCAGTGCCACAGAGCATATTTATGCACACTCACATTTAGGAGCCTCTGATTCCTGAGACAGTGGAGTGTGCACTGAGAGCTGGAGCTCATTGCCAAGTGGCCCTAGATTGGGCAGACGGACTCCTATTGCTGGAGTGAGAGTGGCCGGGAAAGAAGGCAGGCACTGAGTCTCCCAGTGGGACCAGGTAAAGAAGGCACCTGATAACATAGCAATGTTCAAAAAGCATCAGTCTCCTTTCCTTCATTGTGCCTCAAAGAAAACACAACCAACAGCTGAGCAGATCTGGGGGCTTCTCACTGTTTCCTCCTCAGTTTGATATATTTTAGTTTGTTTCCATGTGAACTCACTTGTGAGGCGATCCCTGGATTCTCTCCAGAGGGATGGGAGATCCCTCCCGGACTAATTCATACTTTGCTTTTGTTGTCATTTTTAACTTAGAATAAGGTATCGATAAAAATCCAAATACCAGAATACAGAGGCTTGTGGGATTTTTCTTCTCACGTAACACAAAATTTAAGAGCGTACTAGTTTCAGATCAAACCTCTAGAAGCCTCCATCACCACATTTCCTGTTTGTAACTGAACAAAGTACACACAAAAGATTTTAAGACACAGAAGAGAGAAAACTGAGGTACAGTTAAAGACACATTTTACTAGCACACTGCTTCTACAATACCAGAACAACTTAGAAAAAAAAGTTTGTGGGGGCATTTTTAATCCACACATTTGCCTCATGGCTACATAAGGATTTCTCTGACAAAGGAAGCATGTCAGGTAAGTGGCATTTTTAATTCTTTTCTTCTATTCCTATGCCTAAAAATTCACTAAAAAATTTCCACGTCTCCAACCAAAAAAAACACTTAAGATTTGGGAAGTAAATTAGTTTACACATTATTTTTAAAATGTGAGATAACCTTTAGTATAATTTAGAACATACTCGGAAATATTTTGATGAATATAAGTGGATTATTTTCTCTTAAAAGAAAAAAAAGGGAAATTTCATAAGATAAAGCTGGTTGTAGCCATTCAATAAGTGTTTGCTGATAATTATGTCATTTACAGTATCTGTTATTTTTAAAAGAAACTTTTGTTGATCCTGCGTATTCCTCTTTAGTCTGGTTATATAGTTATAAAGCAGGTTAGTAGTAACCACATTCTAATTCCTTTGAGTTTAGGAAATTTATTATCTTCCCAGAAATTAATCCAGTTGTCGATATCAGAGAGATGACATTCTGCAAAGGCCAGTGAAAATTTGATCTCCGTGGCATGGATCGCAAGGCTTGAATCCCCATCAATTAGCCGAGTGTCTGTTCCACGTTGATGGTTCATACCGTTTTAATGTTTTATGTACTTTTTATGTCTTTAATAAACATCTTTTTGTTGTAAAACACACATGTTCTACAAAGTAGGAGGACTGAAATATATATAAAAAAGAAAAAAATGACATAGTTCCCATCATGTGAAAAAAACACACACAAGATATTGTGTTGTATTTCCTTCCTACTTTTATTTCAATGCATTCTACATGGTTTGTTTTTCATACCTGAAAAAATAATGAACATAAAATCAGATATCCAGATTTTTTGCTAACATTAGAAAACAAGTATTTCCCTTTTTATGATAATTTCTGCCAAATCATTTTAGATGAATGTAGGCAATGACATCCATTGGGTTAATTATAGTTTCCTTAGCTATTTCTTTATTGTTGGACATTTATGTTGTATCCAGTTACATTACATGTCAAATGACAGAGAGATGAACATCTCTATACTTTTCCTAAAGGGTTATTTTCTTAGGAAAAATTTCTAGAATTGGCATTACTGAGTAAGAGGTAATGAACACTGTAAGTCTCATTATTATCAAGTTGCTTTTCCAAGAGTGATGCCAATCCACTCTCATCCTAGCGTGTTTCTCCTGAACAGGCCAGTATCACCTAAAAAAACCTTTACTAATAAAAGTATAATATGCTAACCCATTGTTGATAATGCATTACTTTGATTATAATGAAGCTGAACATTTTTACATGTGTTTTTAAACTGTTTATCATCATACAGTTTGCCTGAATATATCTTTTGCTTAATTATTGTGCTTGTAGTACTTTTAATATCAATTTGAAGGAGCCATTGATAGGGTAAAGATATTATATATGATCTCTGTGAGTTTGCTTCCCACTATTTTGTTTGCTGAATTTTAAAATCAATTGATTGGATTAATCACACAGGGAGCATAAGCTTGACATATGATTTGCACACCTATCTTTATTTTTTCCAGGTTCATAGATTAGCAAAAACAACTGTTCCAGTTTCGCTAGTGCCCTGCAAAAAATGGACATGACAGTATGATGAATAGTTGCCCTTAGCTGATGGTGTTGGGGAATTCAGGAAGGTTGGGAAGGCCAAAGGCAGTGAATATGACATTCAACTATTTCCAGGATTCATTAATTCTAATTTTATGAAGGATATGATAAAATTTCTTCCATACCATTTTGTAGTTTAGATGTTCCCTTTAGAGGTAACACAGGAGTTCCTCCATTGACTGTTGAGACCTTCTACAATGTCACAGAAGAGATAAAAATATCAAGTATTTGCTGTTAAAGACTCATAGATCTTAAAAGGAGGGGAAAAAAACTTAATGTGAGAGAAGAATCAGACAATAGGATTTTTTACATTTAGATAAAGTGAAGTTAAAAAGAAAATTAGTGTGAAAAAGTGAAATTATTCCTAGTTACGTAAAGGAACATAAGAAACCAAATCTCCTTGGGTTTCTCCTGCCTAAATGCCTTGCACTCACTGCATCAATAAATGGGCCAATATCATAATTCCTACCATGTTTCTACATGCACATAAAATCAATATTAGCAGAATGAACTGGTGAGAACAACTCCTGTGGGCTACCGTTCATTTAGTTTACAGAGTGATCTGCAACTTCGTTACAATTACACATTGCTGTTTTTCAAAAAAAGGCTTTTCATTGTCTTTACTCAGTTTTCTCTTCCCTTGAGCCTCAATCGCCTTTCCGAGAACAATGAGTCTTTCCTTTAGAGATGAGGTAGGACTAATTTATGAATCATCTTTTAAACTTACGTGTTCTTTAAATTAGAGATGGGTCAAAGACAATGTGTTTCATCATTTAATTTAGGTAATGTATGCAATGATTTTAAGGAAAGTCAATCCAGGAAAGATTGTCAACATCATTATTGGTTACATTTCCAGGCATTATGAATTTCATTTAATTCTCTCAGTATTACAGAACTAGAAAGAGGACAGAAAAAAATTGACAGTCCTTCTTAAAACAATAAAGAAATACAGTAGTTAAAATTTTGTTGGATGAAGATTTCCCACACACCCATGACATCTTCCGAGGATCTCGCCAAGGTGCTTCTCCAATGGAAAACAATAAGTACATATATAAAATGGAGTAGTAAATACAGATAAAGAAAGACTCATCAGTGGCAGGGATTTGGGCAGCACTCCAATCCCAAAAGGATTTCTCAAGTTGACCAATCCCAATTAAAGTTTAATTATAAAAGTGACAAGTAGTCCAGTACTGGGGGAATCATAAAATGCTGTCTTAAAATCTCCCCCCAGCTCCCTCCACATGTATGTTCTCTTTAACAAATTCAGTTAAATGTTGGTTAAGAGCAACTATGATGTACTATGTCACACAGATGGGGATCTGAACTCCAGCTTTACAACTGACTTAGTGAGGTTCAGTGAGATGCAAAAAGACACACAACTAGGAAGTGCCTACACTCAATCTTCCTCTGCACTTTGAAGTAGACATTCCAATGCCCCGTGTTGCTATTGTCCCTCTCCCCAACTCCATCTTTCCCCAACATACACCAACCATTCCTCAAATAACCCTCTGTTCATAACAGACCCTTACTTAAGGTTGACAGATATCAAATTTTGCATTAAAAACAATATCTTATTTACTCGAAAGCCTGGGAGTAGATTTGAGAATCCCTTCCAGTGTTTCTATCAATGACTCTAATGTCTTTTACTGATGGGATGATAGGGATGGATAGTGGTGGGACGGGGGGCTGTGTGGATACTGACAACATGCTACAAAGAGCCATCAGGAATGTGCCTAGTTCCATACCAAACTGTCATCACAGTAAGAAAAGCTCTTTTTATGCATAAGATCCATGGGGATTGTTATATCAGAACTTTTTCTTTGAACTTTCTGGGGTGCCTAAAGTAGATACACATATTCATGGAATGCAACAGGGAGATGGTCACTGCTCCGACAGAATTTGCAAGCCAACGAAGAGAAACCACCATGAAAATCCATATCCTATATACTATAAACTCATACAATTGTCTCAGTTACAGACTCCCTGAAGGAAACTCAATTGAGGCATTATACGTATTGTTTTTCTATTGTTAGTTAAGTGAAGGCTTCTGTACGAATCAAACCTGCCAGCAGAAAAATGATACATTTGCTTAGCTGGGTTTCCCTCCAGAGCACATGCAAATGTGAATTCCAGATACAGTGCCTGCCAAGTACTTTTGGCATTAAAGGAGTCAGAGGTCTCATAGTTAAACCTACCACGATTAGCCCCTGGCGGTAGAAAGCTAGATAGAAACTTCAATCATGGTTTCTCTAGCTGTCATTGCCTCATTAATAACTTCTTGAGGCCTTTGGCTTTTTAACAGTGTGAAGAGCTAAATTCAAATTGGGTGGGAGTTCCTTTTAACTTGATAAAAGCTTTTTAAATGAAAGTAATTACAATTATGAAATAATGATACTAAAGATTGCATTTGTTGGGCAAGAACTTTTGAGCACTTTGTGCATCTAATAGTATAAGAAGCATTATCTATGCTGAACAGATACCCACATGGGTCTGGAGCTATTCATACTGGATATGGGAATAACTGGGTGAAGAGAGGTGTGAAAGTATGTGTGTGTGCATGTGAACACTTACATAGATCTGTCGTTCAAAGTGAAAATCTCAAACATTTAGCTACTCAATAGCTAAATCTGTATTTTTTTGTTTTTCTCATCTGTGTAAGTTTTTTTTGTTTTTCAAAATTGGGGCATTTATTGTTGGCAATCAAAAAATTATGAACGCCGGGACGCCTGGGTGGCTCAGTTGGTGTAGCATGTAACTCGATCTCAGGGTTGTGACTTTGAACCCCATGTTGGGTGTAGAGACTATTAAAAATAAAATCTTTAAAAAATTGTGGAAGCTATCAAGAATGTCATGAAATACAAAGTTTCTAAAAGAAAATCTTCCTGTTTAAAACTCATATCACATTACACAAGGAAAAAATCTTGGAAAACAGAAGAAGGTTAGATAGGAATTGAAGACTCTCGAAATCAGAGGAAACCAGAGACCATGCTAAACCAACCCCACACTTTAGAATTTGGCCTGTGTTTTCAAAGGCCTCCAGTTGATTATGTGAAACAAATTTATTGTTACAGTAAATGACAAAACCAAGTCCTAGAAGAACGTACCGTGTGGTCTAAGTTCTTGCCTTACTATTGCTAACATATTTCATGAAAATTACTAGGACTTTCCTTAAGGCCTTTATGTAAAATGTAGGCTCATGACATTGATTTGGTTGTTTCTTTGTAGTTGAGAGCAAATTATCTTCTTGTCCCAATTAATGGACTGATACAAGTTTTTCAATGTTCCTTTTAATTAAAAAGGAGAAAGGGAAACTTCTAATTGAAATATAATTTTGTGCAAATGATAGAATACTTTATAGCTAGAATCAGTGTAATTATAAAAATAAGATGAGGGGTTTTGCCTTGAAGTATGCCTTTTTATACAGTGCTCTATTTTATTTACTCAAACCACAACTATGTATTGAATATATACTAAATACTAGATGCTGTGAGAGCTGGGAAGGAAAAAAAAAAACAACACTAAGTATGAAGTAAATCATTAGTTCTCTCTAGGATAAGTTCTAGAGATCTATTATTCTTTTTTATTTATTTATTTGCTTTCTTACCCTTCCCCCAGAAAGAGAGGTATTTGAAGTACATAGAAGCATATGGTCAGTATAAAGGATAACCAAATAGATCAAGACAAAGGAAAATAAGGAGCAAGGGATATGATTAGGTCACAAAAATGAGTATCATATAATCCCAGAGATTTGCTTAAGGTAGATTGTGTATCAAATAATATATAAATGCAGACAGATGGCATCATGAACCATAAGAGTGAAAATGTGCCTGTTCTTGAGAAGATTCCCAGCTTCTTCTACCAGAGATGCCAAGTGATATATTAAACAATGTCTTCTAGTCCATAGACTCCTTTTAATTAATGAATTCAAATAGCAAGTTTCATCCATCTGGTTCTTTTCCTTAAAACAAGATAACATAGGCAGAAAGTGTACAAAATGGAAAACAAAAAGAGCGACAAAGTGTTTTAATTTTTATTTCCTGACTGTAACCTGAAGTTCAGTATTCTGTTGTCATTTTAAGGCAGATTGTCAGCTGAAATGGAAACAGCTTTATATTCTCTTAAACAATTTTAGGAACATAACTGGGATATGTCTCAGAATAGAAAGCCATCGAAGCCCATTCTACATCCATTCAGAGGTAGATCCAGGGAGAACCTATAGGCAGGGTGAAAATTTCCTTCCCAAATCAGTTTTGCATCCTTTCAGCATGTGCATGAGTGAATGATCAAGGTCCCAGGGTATATGCCATAGGATTTGATGCAATAATTCTGACCTAACTATTATTTTTTTTCCAATGACAAATTTTCTAAAGTAAAACGTTCTTTTTTCTTTTTTTTTTCCAAGTTTTTATTTAAATTCCAGTTAGTTAACGTACAGTGTAGTGCTAGTTTCAGGAGTAGATTTTAGTGATTCCTCACTTATATACAACACCCAGTGCTCAGCACAACAAGTGCCCTCCTTAATGCCCATCACCCATTTAGCCCATCCCCTGCCCACCTCCCTGCCAGCAACCCTCAGTTTATTCTCTATAGCTTGCCTCTCTCTTTTATCCACCTATGTTCTTAAATCCCACATATGGGTGAAATCATATGGTATTTGTCTTTCTCTGACTGACTTAGTTCACTTAGCAAAATACTCTCTAGCTCCAACCATGTCGTTGCAAATGGCAAGATTTCATTCTTTTTGATGGCTGAGAAATATTCCAGTGTGTGTGTGCATGTGTATCACCTCTTCTTTATCCATTCATCAGTTGATGGACATTTGGGCTCTTTCCATAATTTGGCTATTGTTGATGCTACTGCTATAAACATTGGAGTACATACACCCTTCGAATTAGTATTTTTGTATCCTCTGGGTAAATACCTAGTAGTACAATTGCTGGATCATAGGGTAGCTCTATTTTTAACTTTTTGAGGAACCTCCATATTATTTTCCAGAGTGACTAAACCAATTTGCATTTCCACCAAGAGTATACGATGGTTCCCTTTTTTCCACATCCTTGCCAACATCTCTTGTTTCCTGTGTTGTTAATTTTAGCTATTCTGACAGGTGTGAGGTAGTATCTCATTGTGGTTTTGATTTGTATTTTCTGATCATGAGTGATGTTGAAAATCTTTTCACGTTTCTGTTAGCCATCTGGATGTCTTCTTTGGAAAAATTAGATTCAACTACTTCTAACGTAAGATTACAAGTCACCCAATTTGGCCAAAGGTAAATCATTTATACATCTATCAAATGCTTCATTGAAAACAAAGCAACTTTCTGGCCAACTCTATAAAAAATTAGCTTTGATATGTATTCTTAGGTAAGGTATACTATATTATACTATATTATGGTATATATAATTACTAGTCTGAAAAAAATAATGGATATTTGCCTAAAACAATAATTTGAATTTTAACTAGTTATACTTTGTTCATTCTTTCTCTAACAATAACCAGACAGAACAACTATTTCATAAGGCCACTCAATTTATGATAACCATGTTATCAACCTATAGGAAAACCCTTATTTTTCTCTTCTCATAGTAGGAGAGGGTGTATTTAATAAGTAAAAATAAAGACATTGGTCTTTAAGGTAAAAGTTGAAGAGAGTGACAGCACATCCCACTTCATCCCGTTGAAAGTTATTGTGCACTCTGTAAGGAGATTATTTCTCCTCACCCTGACTCTTCTGTCATTAACATCCCAGTTTTACTCAGGCATAGATTTCCTAGGGTTGCATCTGGCTCATACAGCTTACCTCAGCTAGTGGTATTTTCTAAATTCCTCTTCCCAGAGATTTCACTGACCCTAACCAAACTCCCCAAAGACTGATTTTTAAACAAGAAAATAAAATTTTATATTTATAATGGTGGACCCCCCATAAATTTAATCAGATGACTGGCTGTTAGCACCAACTTCCTGTATCAAATTTCCTGGGGGAAAAAATACAATAATCTGTAGGTTGTTGGGTAAATATAGACTCAGGACAGAGAGAATTAGGAATTGTCGATGAGCACTTACACCAAGACTACAGTGGCCTAATGTGCTACTCTCCTCACAAGGATCTCTTCCCTAGCTGCTGGAAGGTAGGTCCTTTCTCAATAGCACTAGAGACAAATGTAACAGAATCTTCAACTTGTCTTTCCAAGGTTGTGGGTGTGTTTAGACCTCAGACTTGATCAGAACTTTTCTGTTGGCCCTAGTCATTACATTACCCATCTTTACTCCACTTGTCTTCTATTTAGTCACTTGACACATATTTAGTGAAAACCTTCTTTGTGCTGAACAGGTTGCAGAAATAAAAATAGGAGTCTTACTAGTTGTAAGATGAGAATAATAATAATAATAATTTCCGGTTATATATTGAGTAAGTCATGGGAATAAAAGGTACAGCATAGAAAATACAGTCAATTGTATTGTAATAGTGTATGGGGACAGAAGGTAGCTATACTTGTGGTGACCATAACATAACATATAGAAATGTACATCTGAAACTAATGTAACATTGTGTGTCAACCGTGCTCAAATAAAAATTTTTTAAAAAGAATAATAGCTAATATTTATTGAGCATCTTATTAGTGAGGAACACTCTTCTATGAATCTCAATCCCCACAAAAATAGGTACAATGAGGAAATTGAGGAATGAAGACCAAGATGAATATGACCTTCTTTTTGTCCTTCGAGAAGTTCATAGTCAAGTGGCGAGAGGCATTATGCATAAATGATTACCTCAACAAATATTACCTCAATATTTGTTGAAATGTAGAGAGATATAAAAGATATCACTTGGTGGGGGACAGGCAGCAAAGAGTGAATTCTTCAAAGAAAATGTAGTCTTGAAGGATGACTAGGAATTCATCAAATGGCTAAGGGGGAAGGCATTTCAGGCAAAGGGGCAAATATACAGAGACATAATACATACATACAGAGAATGATTGGAGCATGGTATATTATTGGGTAGGCATGGCAGATAAGTCCTAAAAGATAGGAAACCTAAAGTAACATTTTGTGGAAATAGTTCATGGTAAGGAAAGAAAAGTGTGATGTTCTCTATGCTTAGGGAAGAGATAGGAGCAAGCACCTTCCCCTGAAGGACCCATGTCACAGGCTCCAGAAAAAAGACAAAGGAACCACTTCTTCCAAAAACCACAAAGAAGAGGACTATATGAGACAGTGTGTGGAAAGATAGTAGGTACCAGGAATGGTGGTTGATGAACCAAAAGAGCCATAAACATAAAGTCAGGGCCAATTGAAATAATAGGAACAGAGGCCAGACCGACCTGAAAAGGGTCTGCTTAATATTGTGTTTTAAAACCTGAGCCATTGTTATATCAAAATCCTTTAAGATGTGTATATCCTGTGATCTAGCAAATCGAGAATTTTTACGTGAAAAAAAAAATTAAGGTTAGATATATAGTTTTAGCTACAGATATTCATCACAACATCGCTTATATAACTAAAAATCACAAGTAACTTAAATGTCTAACAATAAGGGATTGCTTAAATTATGGAAAACTCATTCAATGGAATATAGGGCAGCTAAAAGAAATGAAAGCATATTTTATTTATAGGAAAAGAAACACACTACAAATTATTGGAGTGAAAGTAGATAAAAGTATAGTCAGTATAATTGAATCTTATGTCTTTGTCCATAACAATTTCTACACAGAGAAAAGTAACTGGAAGTATATGAACCAAGATGTTCACAGTGATTGTCTCTTGATCATAGGATTATGGTTGATTCTTAGCTTTCTGTTTTTGCTTGTCTGAGTTTGCTAATTCTTTTTAATATTGAACATGGATGATATATACAACAAGTCTGGCCTCTGTGTAGCAACTAAAGTTCATTTATTTGTCACCAAATACAGTGACTGTAGAGGCTGAGTGATTAGAGTCTACTTGACAGACTGAATATCCTGAATTGATAATTGTGATCTATCTTGATAGATAATATAGTATGTGCCCTCAAATTGCCTTAAGATATGGAAGAACCTAGAACTGCGTCTAGACTGTGGCTCTGTAAGTGACAAATACAAGAAGAAGAAAAGAAGTCTTTAATAACAGAATTCATTGATTTAACCATTAGTTTGAAAATGGAAAACATAAATTAATACCTTTGTATTGTGATAGCAGAGAGGGAAACTGAGACCCATCTGGCAAGTGAAAACCTTAAAAATTCCCTTTGATCCAACAATTGTATTCCCAGGAGCCTCTTTCTACAGATAAGTCCACATATGCACAAAATGCCTGCCCAATGAAATTCACTGCATTATTTTTTGTAAGAGAAAATATTTTAAAAAATCAGAATGTCCATCTTAGAGAAATGGGTAGATGCATTATACCTATTTACCACATATACACATTTACCACATATCCATATACCACAATACTATGTAATTCTATGCAGCCACTAAAAATAACATAATAACATGGTAAAAATCCCCTAGACACACTGATAAGTTTTTTTAAAAAAGGCTTATTAGTATAATATTAGTGGTAAGTTTTTTTTTTAAAAAGACTTATTAGTATAATATTAGTGACCCATTTATGCTCTAATAGAGAATCTTAAACGTTATTCTAGGATTTGCTAGGATTTTTGATATTGCTAGGATTTTTAAAATGTATACTCAGCAGTATAAAAAAACTTGTTTTTTTTTCATAAACAATAAAAATCAAAGAAATAATTCAAGGAATATAGGCAGTACCATGCAATACCTAGAATTTCTGGTATATTTTAAGTAGTTAATGATTACTATGTTGTAGAATTCTCATAAATATTTATGGGATTATGTTCATGATGAATAAATAAGGCCCTTCTAAAACTTAGTGTTTTTAACCAAAGACTATTCAAGTCTTCTCAGTTTTCTTATACTTTATGAAACATAAAAATTCCCTTAAAGAAAATAAAACCACACATTTCACTACGATTCTCAGTTAATTTTTCCTATTTATTAACTAATTCTTTAAATATCTTTATAAATCATATGCATTATGTCTGGCACTGCAGCGCAAAAGGCAGAAATGGTCTTATTCTCTGTGGAGTTTATGGTAACATCTAAATAACATCTAAATAACATGGTATGAAATCAAAGAGGAGGTAGCAGACATTAGTAGACAGATTTATTGGTGTTTAAAGAGCCACAGACTAGTTCAAACAAAAGCAAAGTATATATAAATAAGCAATATGTAATATATGTAGATGTACATCTATATCACAAATGCATGTAGATTTTATATATTTAATTATCTATATGCCTATGTTCATTTGAAAATAAATGATGCCAGGAAAGGAAGAAAGGAAGGAAGGAAGGAAGGAAGGAAGGAAGGAAGGAAAACAGACCTCCTCTACTACACCGGACCACTGAGGGCAATTCAACAACCACACTGTGATGTCAATAAGTACTCAAAAACAAACAAACAAACAAACAAACAATGAACAATTCAAACATCAAATTTGAGATATAGAAAATAAGTAAAAGATTGCAGCACAAAAGACATTTTGGGCTAAGTATTCTTATTTGCTGGTTTAAAGACAGAATAGGGAAGTAAGACTAATTTCCCTCCTGTTAAGAATTTGCCTGTTCTGTTTATTGTACCTAACATCATGCTATTTAGATTTCTTTGAAAGGACTGAGCATGGTGTCTGATTCAGGGCAGTCATATGGGGAGCTGAGACTGGGAAGTAACATCAGCTCTGCTGCAGCTCTGCTGCAGCTCCTGACACAATGGCATTTCTGCTTGTCTATATTATAATATTAATAATATTATTATATTATATACTATATTATATGCTATATAATATAAATATTAATATATAATATAATATATAA